GGGGGGGGGGGGGGGGGGGGGGGTGGTGGACTTAGTTGCCTAGCCCCTAGCGATAATATCAGGGGGTCGCCATAACCGTCTTTAGACATGACCTTCATAGAAAATTAACCCATTAAATCCCATGTACCTCACAAAGACAAATGATGCAAAAAATCATCTGCCTACGTTTCTTCCACAGGCAAATCTTTCTTCTATATAATTATTATTATTTTCATTATTGTTTTTATTATGAGCAGCCAAGAATTTCATTAAATATTTAAAACCATTCAAAAGACAAGATTAGACAAGTTGCTTTTAATTAATGCATGTACAATTAAAGCAACACTGAGTATGTTAATGTATTTAGCCTTTTGATTTATTAACAAGAGCAACATCAACAACACCAGAAACTAGTCGTAATAAAAATCTAATAATATAATAATGATATATTTCTTTTTGTTTTTAATGTTTAAATTTAACAACATCAAATGTTTTAAAATTAAAACTTGTTTTGTGCTCCAGTGTTCCGGATGGAAACTACATCAACGCATTTAGGTCATCTCAACCTGCGAGAATCTTATCATACCAACCAGTGCCAAGCACTGAAGCAATATGCTGGTCGCCAACAGGAAGTGGGTTTTACGTCCTCGCAGAAGGATCCAATCAAAAAATTTACTATTACCCAAAGATTTCAGGCCCAACAGTGGTTGGCTAGATCACATCATTGTAGATTAATTATCTTTTCTGGCAAACATTATGTATGCTATCATAAAGAAGGACCAGAGTATTTTTATGAAGTGTAATAATTGCATTAATGATATTGATGGATTTCAGGGAGTTACAAAAATTAAGGATTTGGTTCCTCAGGCTTTTTTTAATTGCCTAGATTTAGTTAAAACATTTCTTGACCTTGTATTTGCTTTATTATTATATATCAACATTCATATTGTCCCCTCATTGTTTTTCTAAATCAGCGGTTCTCAACCTGTGTGTCTCAACCCTTTTTGGGGTCGAACGACCCCTACACAGGGATCGCCTAAGACCATAGGAAAACACATATTTATGAAGTAGGAATTAAAATAATTTTATGGTGATGATGAAATGTATTAAAGGGTCACAGCATTAGGAGGTTGAGAACCACTGGTCTGAAAAGAGATAATGTTCTGAATATTAAAACATCATAATGCAAAAGGATAAGTAACTCAAATGGACTGTCCCCACTTTTCATAATTTGTAAATAAAAAGTTTTTTTTTTAAAATATGTCGCAAATTTATGTTGTTGAATAAATGTTTTACTTTTTACAAATTTATTTTAAACTTTTAGTAAAAACAAAGCTTTGCAAAACTGTTGTACACTTAAAAAGTAATATAAAAATAGTTGATTACTAACAAAAATAAGTATTCAATAGATTTATTTTCAAAATAAAAAAAATGAATTATCCCCAAAGCTTTATCATATTACCATTTGAAAATGTTTTCACTCAAAACACAAAACATCAGAATAAAAGTGTGCAGTGTGGGCAAAGACAAGAAATCATGATCATCACAAGAAAGCAAATAAAACCATCTCTAAGAACCAGTGCAAAGAGTACATTTATAACATAAAACAAATTTCTACATTTACATTAATTCACATCTGAGAATAATACAATTAATTCCCATGTAAATGATGCACATGAAATGAAATCTTTCTAAATGTTTGAAAAAAAAAAATTACAATTTGTTTTAAATATTGTAATTATTCCCCTTTCTGAGACTAATATTACTTTTCATCTATCCTCAACTCTAGCTCTTATCAAGTGAATTCCAATTTTTAAAAAAAAATTAAAATAGTCTTTTTTTTTTTAACATTATTATTTAAAAATAAGGATTTATCTGTTACAGCTAGGGCATAATATAAAAATTAATTTAAAATGTCTTATGAAACATAATTTTTTTTGTCACATGAACTAACTAATCTAATGTATAGTTAATTTTGTTACCAGTTAAAAACTCAATTACTTTGTCCTGTTAAATTGGAAAAAATAGACTTAAACAGAGAGTTACAGTTGTGTTTCATAATATCTTCAGGCAAGTTTTTAGAAATGCAAAAATACAAAATGTACATTATATATGATAAAATTTATAACAATCACCTAAATAATTGTTCACGTCTACAGCAAGGAATTTATTAAAATGAAGAATCTTTTAAATAAAAGAAAGCATTTGTTATAGATAATGACTTAATATCAATTTTAAAAATGTGTGATCTGTGATGAAATTGAATGGAAATCCACCAAAGATTAGATTTTATTAGAGTGTATCACTTAGTGCTTTTATTAAATAATCATTACCGGCATACACATTAAAAGATGAAAAGAGTATTTGTGGGAGTATAATGATGGGTAGGCTAGAGACATATCTGCTCACAGATCCAGACACAAATATAAAACTTTTGTCTTAAGTAAACACAGATGCTCTAATTTGAATTGCTCAATTTTGTTGTTTTAAAAAACTATTAATGTTTTTTCACCATAATGTCAGGCCAGTCAACGGGATTCTCCGCAGGCTCAAACACAAAAAATGTTGGCAGAATAAAACCCAACGCCCAATAAGCCCCAAACACGGCTTGAATTTTCTGTCTCAGATTTCTAGTGTCCTTTATCTCCAATGACCTATTCAGGAAAGCTTTTTCAAATGCTGTGAGTCCGGACGATATTAAGTGGCAGTTTGCATAAATAAACACAACAGTCAGGACGTCAAAATAGAGCAGCAATGAAAGTGTAGTTACTGAGAGAGCTGCATGAAAAGACAGGTACCCTAATATAAATCGTACTATGGCAAATGGAAAAAAAATATCAGCATATGACATCTCATCCCACAAGTAAAAAAATATGTAGGGGAAGCCATGGATCGTTGCGTAAATGCAGCCAACAAATGCGTAGAGTAGAAACACAAAGAAAAACCTGTGGTTGCGATAACCTACACATGAACCAGCAAAAAAGCAGTGGTGGTCACGTTTTAAGACACATGTATGACAGATAGGACAGTGGTGGCATCGCGGTGGTCGAGCTCTGCCGCAGTCATAACATGGCACCCAAGACCAGTATGGGTAGGATTTTATTATGGTCTTTCCATCCGTTGTGATTACAGGTTTTGGAGAAGTAAATTCTTTATCATCTTGGCTGGAGCTTTCTAAAAGACTTCCTGTATAGTCAGACAACTTTGTGTTGGTTTCTGACACACTGATGAGATCGGCTATAGATTTACTATCTGACACATTGGTTCTACTGTCTGACACATTGATGAGATCATCTATGGATCTGCTGTTAATTTGTTCATTAATCTTATTCATTTCTTTATTTGCTTGTTCAGCCTCTGTGTTTAAATCTAGTTCACTGGTTGTCATCTGCTGTACAAACAACTGTCTTGTGTCATTGGTCCTGGCTTGGGATCCATCCATATGTGAGCCATTGTCTTTGAATAGTGGCATGAGTACTGCAGTTGAGTTATCCTGTTGATTCTTCTATGAGCAAGACATCGAATAAACAAGTTAATTTCTGATCATGTAAATTAAAACTTAAGAATTTCAACTAAAAAAATCATTCTATATCATCAGTTTTACATGGCAGAATTTATTTAGATTTTAGTACAAAAATATTTTTGTTCTTAAATTATTTTATTATGGTATTATTCTATTATCACCAAAAAAGTAACATTTTAGTAAAATAACAGGAAAACTTAAAGACTTTTTAAAAGGTAATACTAATTTAATCATGCTCTAGAACAGTGATGGACTGCCCATGGCATGCTTGTAGCCTGGCATGTTAAATATTGCGGCTGGCCTCATGCCTGATGTATCATAAATGAATCTCTTCTTTCTTTATTCAATTAGCGCTCCTTTTCATTCTTGTTATGACGGTTCATTTTAAATAAATGAATTATAATTTATATTGGAAAAATAGTTATTTTTCACTTAAATCTATACAATTTATTGATTCGTATAAGCTGCAAATGTGGGTGTGTTTTCTTTTGTGTGAATCAAACGAGAATGATGTGCATTAAGAATAAGTAAATTATTCTTCACATAGTTTTCTTGGAGATTATTTTATTTGATCTGACATGTGACCAGAAGGGAGTTGACTCCTTATCAAAATGGCTCAAAAGCCCTTTAGAGTCAGCCAGCTATGCTCTAAAACATCATTTTAAAATAAAGAAATGTTACATGCATACATATTTCATATGTAGACCCTATAATTTATATAGTTATAGCATTTGAAAAAAAAAATTAATATAAAATTTATGAATAAAATGTTATAGCTAATCAGTTAACATTTATGGAAAATCAGAATTTATTTTTTGAGTTTTCAGAACTTATCAGGCAATATAGAAAAATATATTGTTGTATATTTTTTAAATTAATTTATTGTTAAAATTTAATTATCATCTAATACTACCTGATGTAATAGCGCATGGTTGATAAATGTCTTTTTCACCCTGGGATTGCCTAATTTTTGTATGTGCCTAACATATGAAGAGTCAACATATCTAATCCCGAGCCAGAAGATCATGAGCTCGGTAAACAAGAACACAACAATGGCTTGCTGTAGCAGAATAATATTGTCATTGCCTTCATACATCAGGGGCATAACATGCCAGAAGCCAATCTTGAGACAGGAGAAGACTGTAAATAAAAATAGTGGAACTGCTATTCTGGAAAATATGGAATTAAGACTGTGTTATAAAATAATCATACATAATTTACATCTTTCAGAACAAAGCAAAATATTTAATTAAGACTGCGTTATAAAATAGTCATACATATATCTCTATCTCTATAGTGAAAGCTAAAATTAAAATTGATTAATTTCAATGTATTAATTGTCATATAATATTTAGGTGAATTTCAAACCCCCCCCCCCCCCCCCCAATTCCCCCAAAATGAAATTTGCATTATGAGCTTCAGTTTAGTTACATTATAAAAGAGTAAAAAATTAATAACCTTTAAATTTATATGGATAATTTGAATGCTGACGAATGATACAACCTACCAATCCCCCTATTTGATTCAATTACAAATGACAATAAAATAATTAATCTTAGAAATAATTAATTTATGGCTAGCCTACATGAAGGGATCACTTACAATTTTTATAACAGTGGTGGGAAAAAAACCATTTACATTAACGTAATTTGGCTTTGTTAAAAGTAATTTGTATAAATTATAAACGCCTACTAATATTTGTATTTTGATCAGGGTTGACAACTCAGTAAGATATAAATTACAGACAAGTATTAAAATCTTCACCATTTTTAAACACAAAATATTTTACTGCGGAATAATTTTGCTCATTTTTAAAAATCTATTATAAATTTGTTTAAAATATTGAACAAAAAACAATTAAAATAATTATTATATTAGAGAGTATATCTCTATCAAGTAATTACTCTATGTCAAATGATGCATAATCTTATCAGTATCAGAAGAGTTATTTTATTGAATGATATTCTGATCACTGTTTAATTTCCTTTGCTAAGGATAACACAAATTTAAAGCTAGCGAGAAAAAAATACTGAAAATACCATTCTTTCCCCGTCAAAGGCGTTCTGGAAAACTTTTCATGTTTTTCATGGACTGCCTAAAAGTTGTTATGGACCTACACAGACAAGTCATTTTGTGTCAAATTTTTACAGACTTACAGTAAATTTACAGATTGATTTCAATTACTGTATCTTTTAAAACCTTTAATTTTTATAATGTGTTTTTACATGCTTTGTGATTTCATAACTTTCTTGTAATAATCCAGCCACTATTTTTAAATTGACTCGTATGATATGAATTAGATGTATTTTTTTTAAAATGGCTTTACCTGTTAACAGTCTCTGGGGTAAGTGGAGAGCTCAAAATCTTTAGACTTGGTTTATTTACACCTTTCTTGTAGTGTGCCAGGAGTTTGCTTCGTAAGCTTTCCAAGACTGGAGGCGGAGGTAACAAACTATGCTCTGTTCTCTCCATCTCAATTTCTCCTGGTTGTGTTTGCAGGAGTGATGGCGAACAATCATAATCCTCCATTTTTTTTGTCACTAATGATAGTAGATTATTTGAACTTTAATCTGTGAGATGTTTTGTAACCACTAAAAAATATGAAAAAAAAATAAATAAATTATTATGCCATTTTTTTTGGTCAGCTTTTAAAAACAAAACTGTTAGATTCAGTGAATAATGTTTATATAACAAATAGTATTTTATTACCTCCAATGCATGAAATCACATGAAAATCATGAATAAATGTATAATTACGCAATGATAAGAGTCTCAATACTCTATAGTCTATAGTCTATAGGCATAGACATGTGGGCGTGGGGCTTAGCCATATGCGGATTAAATATGCCATATTAATATTAAGATTTTTAACAATTAATTTTAATAAATTGATATAAATAGCCGGTGAAATAAAAAAGGACTTAACTATAACTATAGTCTACATTATGCCAATAAAATATTATTATGGCGGTGAAAACCTGAAAGTTAATGGTCTTATAAGTTAAGAGGATACATATAATACATTTTTACACTACAAATCTTAGCACATAATTTATTATTTCACCATACGTAACATTAACAGTGTCTCTCGGTAAACAACGCACATGCAACGTGAAAATACCAATTAGCCTTATTTATGACAGCTTCACCATGACAACGTGTAAATATTTAGATTCGTTTGGTGAAAAACACGTTTTGGATTTGACATCGCAAAGCAAATTTTTTGTTAAATTAATAATAATCACCTTTCAAAATATGTTTATCGTCTTATTTATACTTAATGTATACAAAAATGAAATATGAGATATTTTATCATTTCGATAAACTCCAAAATTAATATGTGCAACCACACTAAAATGTTAAAAAGTTAAAAATTAAGAGTAGCTTCCCCTAATTCATGGTGTAAATTCATCCATCACAATCACTTTTGCAATATGTTTTCACTGAAATATCAAACCTGAACAATATTAATATAGTTGGATTTATAGCCCACTTGTAAATTATGTTAATTCTTTGGTCAATTAAAAAAACATATTTTGTTAAAAAAAATTTAAATAATTGATTACCTTATTTTTACGCAATTTTTTGTAACTTAAAAATAAAATATTGAATAATTAGGCCTAATAAATCTTAGATTAAACGCTGACATACAAATATATAGTCGTTAGGTTACAAAATGAGCCAGCTTTTGGTACAGGGAAACTAGAAAACTGCCATGGAGCGCCAAATCATAGTGGCGTCATATTAATGCCCCCCATTCTTCCCCAATATATATATATATATATATATATATATATATATATATATATATATATATATATATATATATAT